CAAAAAAAACTTAGAGAGAAAGCAGGGATTGGTAGCTAATTTAAGCTTTTCGATAAAATTAAGTCATGATGGCTCTTAAATGATGAAGATCTCAAGCTATACGGGAAGTCATTGCTCCTAAAGAGCCACAATGCACTCAATTCTCTTCTATAAACTTGATTGGTGACTTCATATCTATTCCTTTATACAAATAGGAGGATCAGAGATTCACTGTTCATGCTACAGTAACATTTACTGTAATATTATTACTGTAGCTAATAATTAATTTAAAATATTACTGTAACACACGGGTATATTGTAACATTTAAAAGGTACTGTAGCAGAGCGGGATACTGTCGCACTTTCAAAAATTCAAACCATGGCATATTAAAAAAAGGGATTACTGTAGCAAAAAAATAAATAAAATACCGTGCTTTGCACGGACCGCAAACTAGTTCAATATGGAATCGAATTTGAATCGAATCGATACTTTAATGCTCAGACCAACCTCCAAAAATATCCATCTGTAATGTAGGCGCTTGATCCAAACGATATGCCCAAAATATGCATCTATTCCTTTATACAAATAGGAGGATCAGAGATTCATTGTTCATGCTACAGTAAATGCTACAGTAACATTTACTGTAATGTTATTACTGTAGCTAATAATTAATTTAAAATATTACTGTAACACACGGGTATATTGTAACATTTAAAAGGTACTGTAGCAGAGCGGGATACTGTCGCACTTTAAAAAATTCAAACCATGGCATATTAAAAAAAAAAGATTACTGTAGCAAAAAAATAAAATACCGTGCTTTGCACGGACCGCAAACTAGTTACTTTTATTCTAGTTATTTACGTTATCACAGGTAATAGAAAAGCGTTGAGATAAACTATTCAGTAATCTCTGTCCACTAGTTTGTAAACCAAAGTGGAATTTTTTTTTAACCACTGTACTAATTTCCAAACAGTTTGATTTTGTGCTATGTCAATGATTATCAACACTTAAATACGTAGTAGACAGGAATTCACTGAACAAACAAGAAAAAAAATGTGGGGTTTAGATTTCATAGAATGGAAATGCGCTGCCCCACAAACTTTTGGGCAATAGTAAGAAAGAGAAAGGACCACCTCTCTCAGCAGAATCAAGTAGGGGCTCCAACAAAGGATATCACCTAGATGTGCACACACATGACAACTTGTCCAGTTGCCCCACAACAGCAAAGATTTCATTATTATAAACCCAAGATTTCACTACATTTATTCTGAAACCCTTGTAGTTCTATATCTTCTCATGGGTGTACAGCTGCATATGTATTCTAGGGTAAATAGCTAGCATATACCCTCCTCCTATACATACGACGGACTATGCAGCTACATCCTAGGTATTCTATATTTTGAGCTTAAAAGTAAGTAACCTTGTATTCGGGTGCATTATCGCAACATATAGAACTATGTTGTTTTTAAAGTAAACAGGAGTACTTCTTTGGATTTATAAGCAAAAATTCAAAATAAAACACACATACTAGGGCTACAGTACCTACAAAAGTCTTTACCTGATCAATCCAAGTTGTTGCTGCTGTACCCAAGCCATCATCATAGTACACAGATCCTTCTAAGCAGTAAATTGCACCAAATTTTGCTCCAAGCTCGCTTATTTTATTTACATCCTCCATAGAGAAAAATGAAGATCTCCAATTTGAGCTTAAACTTTGATCCATCATAAGAGACCCTTCAACATAATCAAACCCAAAGTCATCCTCCTCCAGTATTGATATAAGCTTTTCTTGGTCTTTTATGAAATTTTCGAAGTCTACATAGATGAGTCGAACCCAACGGGCTCGTTTCGGTGCCGGTCGCAATGTGATCCGAGCCCGAGTTATGATGCCGAACTGGCCGAGGCCTCCTAAGACTGCATAGAAGAGGTCTGAATTGTTCTTCTTTGAACATGTCAATATGTCTCCTGTCCCTGTTACAGGACCAAAATAGTTCCTTCTAGTAAGTAGTAATTTCAAAAATTCCCATTTTAAAGATAAACTGTGAAGCATAGGCTACAGACATGTGATAATAGTTCGAATCAAAATACATAATTGATGTTGTCATTGTAAAAAGGACCACATGTCACATTCTAGCTACATAATTAGTTTCCATCAACATAGTTTATGGTAGATAAATCATTTGCAATTCACGCTCTATTTTTATCAGCACGTGTATCTCCTAACGTTCATGACAGGCTTCATTTCCTAGCGCAACAAGAGTGCTCTCACCTTGTGAACTGGTGGTCACAGGTTCGATTCCTGGAAACACCCTCTAGTGAAAATGCAAGGTAAGACTATGTACACAGGGTGGTCCAAGGACCAAGACATACTAATTTTGCCAGAATAATATGCATGTACTAATAAAATAAGTATCAGCAGCTAACTACTCTATAACATTATTACACCTGCATTGCACGTGCCAATACCTGTGACAACATCCAACTCACGCACATTGGAGATCTGCGGCCCGTGCCGGAACGCCTGGCCGCTGATCCCCGCATTGGAGAGCGTGCCACCAACAGTAAGGTACAAATAATCAGTCCAAGAGCACGGGCTGAGCCCGTGCTTCACCGTCTCAAGCAACACATCAATCCAAAGCTGCTCTCCTCCAACATCAACATAGTCATCAAACACTCTAATCCTGTTGACCACCACTGTTACCCTAACGCCTGCCTATGTCGACAACGATGCCGTCATGACCCGCAAGCGGATTTTGCCGGTGCACGGAGGTGCCATATTGCCGGCGAGCGGAGACGGGGAATGCGGTAGGCTGAGTGGAAAGGAGGAGAGGAGGACGGTGGAGATTGGTCGGAGGGGAGGGGGTGCGGAGGATCTGCGGCGGGGGAGGAGGTGACGAGGTGCCCGAAGTCAGTGGAGAAGGTGGAGATGGTGGTGGGGTCAGTGAGGATGGGGAGGCGAGTGGAGAGAGAGATGTGGATGATGAGGGAGAAGAGGAGAGATTGGAGGAGAGAGGAGGAGGTGGTGGCCATTTTTTGATATGTGATGGAGGGGAAGAATTGTTTGGAGGGTTATTTATGGATGCGGAAGCTGATTCTCTACAATTAAAAGATTATTTATGTAATTAAAATCATTCATGGGTCCGAATGAAGAGATACTACTAGTGAAGTGTAGAGTCCCTCAGCAATAACTAAGAATGTAGAAGAGCTCTACTCTCTCGCAACTAGAAAATGTACACTGGACATCATTTTCTCAATCATAAGGTTCTTGATCGAATATAAAACCATATAGCCTATAACGCTCAGTACAACTTCAGAGTTTTTTATGCAGTAAAAAAGAGTTTAAAAAATCTAATAACATTATATATTAAGTTTTAATAGTAGAGAGACTACTGTAAATCAAGTCACTGTACCAAAATTTGAAGTTAGGTGAGCATTATGGATTATTCTTATTATCTAACATGACCCTACAAGTTGAGGGCCTTCTCTTGGACAGAAATTTGGACTTATTGAACAGTATTGAGGGTTATCATTTTAAACTCTAACATCAATATAGTTATGATTAAAATAATAGTATCTCTAATATTAAAAGTAGTGGAAAGGATTCAAATCCATTTGGTCTACTATTATATATAGATTGCTGAAACTTTATTATAAATGTGATTTAAATGACATGATTTAATTTATCATTAACAAAGTAATCAATATTATTTAACTGTAACAATTTTTTTTTTGAATTTTATTATTTAAAGAGAAGATCTTGAAAAAAGGGGTCAGAGGTACAAGATCTTCTTTTTTTCAAAGATATGGAGGACGAGGTGTAGACATATCCCATAGGACATGACAAATTCTAGTAAGAGGAGGATTTCTAGTTTGAATTCTAGTTTGTTTTCACATTTTGATTAGATCAGAGTCGGATGTGATCTTGTATATATGGTCAATTCTGTGACCATCATACTTAGGCTTTGCTTATACTCTTCTCTTTTTGTGCGGTGACTTGGTCAAGCCTGCATGGAGTTGGTTTGCACAATTATAAAGGCAAAACCAATGCAACATTGATGCAAAAGATATGTTACTAATTGGGGTAAATTTCACATAATGCCCTAATGCTTGGCTCAATTTAAAATAACATCCTATAATTTATAAATGTCACTTTTTAACTATTGTAGCCATTTGGGCTTGTCAAAAACATCGCCTGGCTCCCAAGCGTTTGCAATTTTTTCAATATTCCCCACTAACAAGATAACGTAGGTTCTCTAGACCATATCACAAGTTCATTGTGTGGTTTTCTGAAAATAATGTTGAGAGTTTTAGAGAATTCTGCAAACCATGTTAAAGTTAGGGAAGTATATTGGAAAAATTGGGGTTTTTTTGGGTTGGGGGGTTNAAAGGACAAAATATCTTAAATTTAAAAGTCTAGTCACCAAATTATTTATAGGACTCATAAATCCAAAAAACTGCCGTAATGTTGCCAAGATAATGAGGCATGAGTTATAAGCCTCTTGTGCACTTCAATCTAATGATGCTGACTGAACATCAAATATTGGTTATCACTCAAGCCAAAAGGATCAAGTGCATCTATTTGGTCTCATTTGTGAAGTCACGCTTGCAAAGAAACAAGCCCATGTGACCTTATATTCAAGTCCAATTAAACTCACCCATATCAGTTTCTTACCCATTTAGAAAATATATTTATTGACATTGATAAAATATATCATGCTTAATATTAGTACATTTTATGCATTTAAGGATATAATATTTACATGCGAGCTTGTGGACTACAACTTTTAGTACCTGTTTGCAAGTCTTTGGGGGGCGTAGTTAGACTTTGTTTGCAATTAATTTTGTCACATAACTTTGATTTTCAGACTCTGGTTGTACTTGCGAGCTTATGTGAGCACTTGGGATATAGCTTTTTCTTTGTGTGTTTTAGTTTTGATGAAACATATATAACATTAGTGATAGGTGACGGCTATGGTCCTCTCCCTATTCTGTGTATAAATTGTTTCATCGGCACTATTCCCAAACAATTGCATTACATCGAACACCCCCTAATGTGTCCTTTAATATATATAGTATATATATAAAGTATAATATATATATATATAATTTATAATATAATTATAAGTATATATATAATATATATATTAAAGGTATATATATAAAGAGAAGAGACGAGAAATGGTGGAGAAACTGTAGCTCAAGTTCTTGCTTGAAACTCTAGTAGTGGGTTGCCCAATCCCGCCGCTATGACACACCTTGACAAAATGAGCTCTTTTTCTGAAGTAGTTGAATAGGTGATGAGGCTCACTCTTCAAAGGTGTGATGCTAGGGTGAGCTTTGGCCACCTCATATCAATTTCAATGGAGGAATTGTGGTACCGAATTCTCCATATTTCTCATAGATATATATAATATATATATATAATATATATATATAATGGACATAGTGAATCTAAGTGAACCCGAGAGCTCCCTACCTAAGGAAGCGGCTACAATCACATCATTCCCAATATTTATACATCCTCTCCGTTGAACTTGATCTACAGAGTTCTAACCTTTAAAACAGACCCTTTTGGGGTGATACGCCGTCGGGTTTTGACCATTCATGCCACTCGCTCGTTATTTGTGTTGGTACGCAATTTTAACAATTTCAATGAATAGAATTTATTGGAGACTCAACAAGGTCAAACACACGGGTCTACCCTAAATTGGTGGTATTGAGTTTAAAGAACGTTAGCTCAAGATTTACCAGTGGATCGTCAAAAAATAGTTAGGATGAATTATTTTAGGCTGCGTCCGTAGGTGGACGCTAGGGCGTTCACCCTAGATTCACTTTCCGGCATATATATATATATATAATCTTATAAATATTAATATAGTGTATATATATATGTATATAGTATATAATAATAAGTTATTATATATCTATATTATTTATATATTACTATTGTTGTATATTCTATATTATATATATACTATTATATTATAATTAGTATCAATAAATAATATATATATTATTATAATATATAATTATATAAAGTATATATTATAATAATTATTATATATATATATATAATATATTAGAGAGAGAGAGAGAGAGAGAGAGAGAGATAATGGGTATCCTGCATAGCACAGTGGATTTTCCTCCTATGAGCCGCTCTAAATCACATGATAGAGCGACATTGGATGATCGCTCCCGTTGAACTTGATCACATATCTACAAACCCAAACACACCAATTGGTACACGTCGCCTTTGATTATCATCCAACTCGTATCAATTTAACGTTTTGAAAGAATAGAACTTTTCACGATGCTAGATGGAGTCAAACGATGAGGCTTCACCCAAACTTGTGTGTTGGGTTTAGAATATGTAACTCCAAAGTTGCAATGGAGCGATCTCCCTAAGTCGCTCAATCATTTATTTAAGTCGTAAGGAGGAATCCCTAGACAAGGATACTCCATATCTCATATATAATAATTAGTAGTATTATATTATAGTATAAATATATATTAATAATATATATGTATATTATAATAATATAATTATATATTATATATATATATCTATCAAGATTAAGAGATTTTGATGTAATATTTACATATAGTAGTTGTTATGACAAAATCCCCGGGATAAGTTAATATCAATCACAAGAGAGCACGAAAAATATCAAGAACACATGAACACAGATATACGTGATTCGGCTTGTAACCTACGTCCACCGACGAAGGAGGAGAATAGCTTTACTAATTGTGAGGATTACATAGTGGATCATTCAATCACTCAATCCTAAATAACACCCAAAAAACCTAATACAACTCTGAACTAAAAGGAATAAACAAGAAGAATATCAAATAGACTTCACAAAAGAACTCTCTCTTCTTGATTAGTACTCTGAAGATTGATGCATCTAATTGGCTTGAAAGACTGCTCTTGCTCTTATATAGCCTTGAAGATCCCAACTCATTGCTGTCTAAGGAGCAAGAGTTCTAATAGGAATAGAAGTTTATATATTCTAAAAGCCAACAAGAATCCAAGTAGGAATAAACCTCTAATATGATTTGTTGTGAAAAGTCTAATGTAAGTAGAACTCTTGATCAAAACAAACCAAGCTGAAAGGAAACTCCCAAAACAATATGTATCACCTCTTTAGCAATATCAACTTCAGTGGAGTCGTCCTTTGATTTTTCCTCATACTCTTCTTGTATATTTTTGTTACTCAATCTGTAACAATCGGTCTTGATGTGCACTTTCTTCTTGTAATATCTGCAGGTCAGATTCCTGTGCTTTAACTTATACTTGTTACCTCCAAAGCCCATTTCTTCTGATCTTCCTCGAACAAACAAGCCATCATCTTTATAGCCATTTTCACTTTTGGTTAACTCTTTATCGATCTTCTCCTTATTCAATAAGTTCTCTTTGGCGTCCTTGATACTAATAGAATTTCGACCATAAATTATAGTATCCCTGAAGTGCTTGTAGGAAGGCGACAAAGAACACAATAATAATAGAGGTTGATATTTTTCATCGATCTTTACATTAATCTTACTCAAATCTATAATTACAGAATTAAATTCACCAATATGAGATTTGATGGGTGTTACTTCCGACATCCGAAGTGTGTACAAACACTACTTCAAGAGGAGGCGATTTGTGAGCGACTTCGTGAAATACAAATCCTCCAATTTAGACCACAAATCAGCTGTTATCTTCTCCGTGAGAACTTCATGCAAAACTTTGTTTGTCAATTATAATTGGATCGTTGTGAGAGCTCTATCATCTAACTTGTTTCAATCTGTTGAATATATTGACCCAAATATATAGTTTTGATGATAATAATCTATATACTATGTGTATTATTATGCACTAATATATCAATACAGATATCAACATCAAACATGATCAAGATATGTGAGCAAAGTATAGGATGAGTGCAAGGAGTAAAGAAGAAGAAGTGCATAAATGTCATAAAGTAAATTTTACGTTTTATCTACTTAGATTTATTGTACAAGACTTGATCACTCACAACACA